GAGGAGAACAGAAGCTAGTCGTACATTTTCAGCTCCCGATTACACAAGCTCTAAATCTTATCTCACAAATTGATTTGCACAGCTGAGGTCAGAATTGAGCGGGTGATCGATTAATCAATCGACCGCTAGATGATATTGTCTGCATCATCTTCCTGTTCTGTTCTCCCCTGCATTTGGCTGAGCATATGCCTCGGACCCTGGATGACCATGCATCAGGGGATAATTGGGTAGGGCTAGTAGAATGGGTAGAACTTCCCATGCTATCCCGTTCTACCAAGCCCTCCCCCCGCCCAACCACAACCCCTTTTTCCGGCAAAAAGGGGTCCACCGGTACGTCTCGGTAGAATGCGGGCAGCACACGGGGACATGGGCCACACACTGGGCCGTTGAAACGGAAAACAAAGACCCTCATCCATCCCTCCCCCCCCCCCCCCCCCCCCCCGCACCCCCACACACCCTCTTCGGGCCTCTGAACCCATCCCCCGACAACCCCGGACACACCCAAACATCCCCTGCGCAGAGCCTGCGGGGCGCTGAAATAAACCTCCTCCCCGTCTAAGCCCCCCCTCTCTCTCTCTTTGTCTGGAGTGTCACGCTGCCATGTGGCATCGTGCAATCTCTCTCTCTCTCTCTCTCTCTCTCTCTCTCTCTCTCTCTCTCTCTCTCTCTCTCTCTCTATCTATCTATCTATCTATCCATCTCTCTCTCTCTCTCTCTCTCTCTCGCAACAGGGAGACAGATTCCGATGGCCAAAAGGCCGTTGGAACAGGGCTTTCTGCACTGGACACCAGGGGATTTGGCCAGGCGGCCAAGTCTCCAAGACGATCATAGGGCGTGCATGAGACTGCAGTCCCCACAACATTTGTGACCTCCCGTGTTGTTTTTCTAATTATTATTACAAGAATTGAAGAAAAAAGAATTTATGGGTCCATAGCCAACTACCCCCTCAACGTCCTTAAGGAGTCGGACCCCCCAAAAGCCCGCCCTGACCACCTTGGGCCCCCTAATTGGATGCCAGAAACAGTTCTACCTCGTAGAATTGGGTAAAACTGCATTCAATGACAGTTCTACCACAGAACGTGGAGGTCCTATTCTACGTCTTGCAACTTCGGCCAGACACATAGATAGGCAATACTATGCATAATACCATGACCGACTGGGTCGAAGAATTGCGCCCTCGGCCTTGGGCTGTGTGTACAATTGCTTGGCTTTAGATGAGAGAACTGAGAATCTGATTTGTAAAATTGTTCATGAACTTGTTATACTATCCTATCCTGGCACTCACTCCGCTTGCCAGACCAGGCACTTTGCACATCTGATCTATTGCCAGGGCCATGTGGTTAACGCCGCCACAGCAACTTGTCGCTCCCTAAACTCACCTAACCACATGATCCCATAAAGTTGCAATTACAACCATGCCATCGATTGTGGTATTATGATGCCCACACGACTGGCAGCCCCCTCTATATAAAGCATATAGCTACAAAGCCTACAATGTTAGAACGTAAGTTTGTTGTATGGATGTAAAAGATGCGAAGTATATGGCTCCAATAATGAAACAAGTGAAGTGCATAACCTAAAGTCTTTGAGGATTCCCAAACAGATCGGTCACTGGCTAGGGCTCATTAGCGGCTGTATGTTTGCCTAGTTCCATCTCTTTCGCAAACTACCATCTTCACCCGAATAAAACGCCTGGTCATTATAGCGATATTTGGGGCAACTTTCAGTCCAGATGCAGCGATAATCACTGGACGTTTCATTCGGGTGAAGATGGTAGTAAAGAGACTGCCATAATGGCTAACGAACCAGAAAGCAGGCTCAGGCACTTCAATCATCCCACAGGTTAGCGGCCGTACGCTTGGTTTCCTGCTAACTAGTAAAGCGATTGTAATTTGACATAATGACTAACGGACTAGAATGAACTAGAATGCTGGTTCGGACACTTCAATTACCCCACACTTCAGCGAGTATTACTCAATCATCGTGTGCCGGAGCCCTCGGTAACAAACAATGTGGAGAAGAGAGAAACTGTTACATGCCCAGTTGGGCGATGTACATATAAACCGAGGATCCGCAATGTGATAAAAAGGACTGAATGGACAATGCAGTGCAAGTGGAATCTCAACAAGCAATGTGCATTCCGATATATACAAAATGGTGTTTTATAGCGCAGGGGAAGATTTGGATACAAGTCCTGACCTGACTGGGACTGACCTCTTTCACGTAGTACAAGATAGCGAAACAGAATGCTAGAATACTAAGGACTACCCCACTCAATGTTTCAACGCAGACCAAACATACATCATGCTCATCACAAGGTGTGATGGGGCCTGGCGCTATACACAGGAGGGAGGCGCCAGGTCCAGACGAAGAAGAGGAAGGGGGAGATGGGAAAGTCGTCAACACCAAGTCTCGTTACAAGTCCCAAATAATCCCTCTTCAAAATGTCTGAAGTCCANGTCTCGTTACAAGTCCCAAATAATCCCTCTTCAAAATGTCTGAAGTCCAATGTCGAGTCTGGATCCAAATGTCACCAAGCTCTCTCTCTCTCTCTCTCTCTCTCTCTCTCTCTCTCTCTCTCTCTCTTAGTCTGCTGATGCAGTGAAGTCAGATAGCGAGAGGGTGAGAAGGAGATGGTGGACTGAGAAGAGGAAGAAGAAGAACTCTCTCTCTCTCATATGCCAGGTACTAACCTGTGAAGATGGCGCTGTGCTGCAGGTACCTCGAAGACGAAGCTGGAGCAACGGCGCTGCAGGTAAGTCCCTCTGGCCTCCGCCCAATCTCTCTTTCTCTAGTACTACTCTAGCTGCTATGGCGCCCAGCGCTGAAGACTACAGCTAACGCTACTAGCGCCCAACGCTGAAGACTACTGCTAACGCTGCTACTACTCCCGCAGCGCTCCTCCAGAGTGCTGCTGCCGAATCCTGAAGACTACCTCCTGCCTCCTGAACTGCACATGAAGTGCCTGGGAAGTACCTGCCTGCCTGCAGGGCGAACCAGTCCTATATATTGCTGGCCTGTCCAGGAGGCTGCTCTTTCCAATGCCGAAACGTGCCAGACCCTGGTGTTGAAGCTCAACCAGGGGTTGTCTTGAAAAACAGGCCCGAAATGGCCTGTGCTAAAACCCTGGTTTGTTGCCTGAGTTTCAGGGCAGGTCGAACCGATGAGGGCCCGAGAATGGCCCTCGGTTTCAGGCTGAAAACACTCAGGGCCGGAAAGGCCCTGATTTAGCCTGAAACGACACAGGGCCTGTAGGCCCTTGTTTTCAGGCTTTCAGGCTGAAACAACACAGGGCCTGTTGGCCCTTGTTTTCAGGCTTTCAGGCTGAAACAACACAGGGCCTGTAGGCCCTTGTTTTCAGGCTTTTGGCCTGAAAACGTCACAGGCCTGGAAATGGCCCGTGCAGCCTGTTGCAGGTGCAGCATGTAACACCCCCCCCTCCTTATGAAGTCAAGCCGGGTCGAGGGCGAAGCTGACGATCTGAAGGTGGAACCTGGACGCGGGTGCGGCGTGGAGCCAAAGATACAGGCTTGCCTTGCAGTTTGCGTTCGTACCGTGCGAGAACATCCGGAGCTGTTGCTTGGAGTTCTGCACAGGTCAACCAACAGTCAGCTTTGTGAGTGCAGTACGCAAAATGTACCAAGTACTCGGTTGGCTTGTTGCCGTAGCGTCGCTGGGAGATGATGTTGCCGACCTCCTGAAAACCGTTCATAGAGGGTGGGTCTTGCGAACGTCGCCCGGGAAAATCGTCATGTTCCGCTGGTGTGTAAAGAGCCAACTTGGAGCAATGAAAGACTGGGTAGACGGGCAAGTGGGCGGACACCTGAATAGTTAAGGAAAGGTCCCTCGGGTGCATCCCCAACGGGCGCCACAATCGGCCAGGGCCCCATCCATTTCGGGAGGAGCTTGCGAGAGATATCTTGTTCAAGGCTGAATTCCGCGGTGGAAACCCAAACGAGATCACCAGCGTGAAATGGGCAAGGAAGACGCTGACGATTGGCCTGTTGGCTCATGCGTTGCTGCGTCTTGGCCATATGGTCGCGTGCCTTGACAAGTAGCTCTTGCATCCGACGCAAGGAAAGAAGATGGTCGTCGCTCTCGGGCGTTCATGGAATGATTGTGTCCAACGACGAAGTGACCGGCGAGCCGTGCTCGAACTCGAAGGGCGACATCCTGATAGCCGGGTGGATGGACGAGTTGTAGGCCAACTTGACATCCAACAACCGCTCAACCCAATCCTTCTGGTCGGGCCAGATGAGAGTGCAAAGGAGAACCTGTGCGGTCTGTTGCGCCCTCTCCGTTTGGCCATCAGTTTGGGGGTGGCGAGCCGAACTTGGCTTAAATCGGACATGAACCGAGTGTCACGGTCGCAGACGATTTCCGTGGGGTAACTATTGGTTCAAATCCAACCGGCGTAAAGAACCTCGGCCAACTCCGGTGCCTTGGCATGATAGCGGCAAGGCAAAAACATGGCGAACTTGGTGAGTCGGTCGACCACCGTGAGAATCCCATCCACGTCGATCTTATGCTTGGGGAACAGGCCGGTAATGTCTATGGCAATCGCTTCCCTTCGCCACAAGGGGACCGGTAACAACTCGCCGTATGGACAATGGTTGCGGGATTTGCAGCGCGGCAAACCTTGCATGACTCGCAATAGCGTGTGACGTCGCCGAGAAGGCCGGGCCACCAAAATCGATCGCGAAGTAGGCCAATCGTGCGATTGACTCCGAAGTGTCTAGTGGCGGGAGCATCGTGGAACTCGCCAAGAAGCCGTGTATGCAAGTGAGGGTCCCTCGGTACGCAAAGAAGGTCCTTCCCCCGTGTGTGGACAAGCAAGTACCCCTCTTGGATCCGGTAGTGAGAAGGCGCCAGATTAGGAGAGGAGCAATTCGCGTACTTGTCGCGAAACTCAGGGTCGGCTTGGTAGCCGCGGATGAAGCTGTCCCGCAGGTCGTTGTCGATCTCGAAGGTTGAATAGACCGCGGTTCAATGATCCGGACGCCGTGAAAGAGCATTTGCAAAACGGTTCGACTTCCCCGGAATGTGATCGGGAAAAAGGTCGAACTGGTCGATGAAAGTCATCCATCGAGCAATGCTGTTGTTGACGGTGTCTTGGGTCTTGTAAAAGACCAATGGATAGTTGTCARTTACCCATCGGAATGGGCTTCGACCAAGGAGAAAGTCCCGCCACCGCTTGAGCGTGTGGACGAAGGCGAGGAGCTCCTCCTTGCGTGCATCGGCAATGGAGTGCACGACGAACACTTTCTTGCTGAAACACTCGACCTGGTGCCAGTCCACGCCATCGTGTTGCTCGAGGACGGCACCAATGCCATAGCCAGATGCATCCGTAGTGACGCACGTAGGCAAAAGCGGGTCGTATACGCACAAGACCTCCGCAGATAATAGCGCGGCTTTGAGAGCCAAAAATGTTTCCCGCGCATCTTCTCTAGAGTCAAATTGCGGATCCTCGAATTGAAGCTTGGTCAAGTGGGCCGCGATCTTCGAGTAGCCTTTGATAAAATGCTGGTAGTAGCCGGCGAGGCCGCGGAACGAACGGACATCCGTGACGTTCCGTGGCTCCAGCCACTCTTGGATGACTTGAATCTTGTCGGATAGCGGACTGATGCCCTTCGGTGTGACAAAATGGCCCAAGTATTCCAACTCTTGCTGGACAAATTCACACTTGTCGCAATCGGCCTTGTACTTGGCGCGGCGGAGCGTCTCCAACACTCGTCGAAGGTGCTCAAGATGATCCTCCAATGACCGGCTATAGACGAGAATATCGTCYAAGTAGACCAGCACGAACCGGTCCAACATTGCACGGAACTCGTTGGTCATTGTCGCTTGAGAGGTGGTCGGGGCGTTGGTGAGGCCAAAAGGCATGACCACCCACTCAAAATGCCCATACCGCGTCTTGAACGCGGATTTGTAGCGATCGTTCGGTCGGATCGAGATCAATGATATCCCGATTTCAAATCCAATTTAGAAAAATACTTCGCGCCGCCCAATTGCTCAAGAAGATCGTCGATGCGAGGAAGAGGCCCCGCATTCTTGACAGTTTGCGCGTTGAGTTTGTGGTAGTCGATGCCCAATTGTAGATCGTTGTTCTTCTTCCGTACGAAGAGAACTGGCGCTCCGTATGGAGAACTACTAGGGTGGATCCAACCCTTGTCCAACAAATCATAGAGTTGCGCGCGGAGGACTGTAAGCTCCTCCTCGCACATGCGATAAATGCAACCTTTTGGGTTTCGGCGGCACGACACCGGCCTCAAGAATGATCTCGCGAGAGATCGGCTGATCCGGCACCACACCGGTAGGTGAGTCGAAGATGTCGGCGAACTTGTCWAGCAACCGTACCACACGGATGTCCAAAGACAAGTCTATGGGTGAAGAGTCGGCTACCGCGACGGTCCGTAGGAAACATAGGCCGATTTCGTCGGGCTGCTCGTAAGCACAAGTAGCCCGGAATGACTTGGTCGTCACCACTTGGCACCGTATCGAAGGGTGCGGAAGAGGAATAGTACACGACACTTCCGTGCCGAAGGCGTCACAAACCGTAAGAATCCGCCGGTGGAAGTTGACCGTGTGATCTACACTTGCAAGCCAAGGCATTCCCAAAATAATGTCGAAGTCCGTGTCCAAAATGTCAAACGTCACCGGTTCGCATACATGAGGTGCAAAATACACCAATATGGCCTCGATGTAGCGGTCGATAAGTTGTTGCGTCCTTCCGTCCGCCAACTTGATCGCTGTCGGGTTTGCCTTCCTTCGAACTTGTGCGCCAAGGCCAGCCTTTTGCATAAAGGCTTGGCTCATAAAATTGCGAGACGAGCCGCTATCCAGCAAAGCGCTGCAAGACGCTTGCCCAACCTGGATGCGGACATAGAGGAGCGGTGCGTTGTTGTCGTCGTACTGCTGATTGTGAAACTCGCAGGCCACCTTGGTAACATACGCAAGGATGTCCCCCACCGCGACTTCGTCATCCGTCGACGAAGTTGGTGGTGCATAGAAGGATAAGTATGTGTGAAGATGAGTGCATACTCCGCATACTGTTGCGCATTGCGGTCCCGACAAGCGTCCCGTGGTCGGGAGAGGAAGCCATGCGAAATCCTTGGACGTGAGCTGGTCCAATACCTCTATGTTGAACTCGCGCGCCGAATCCCGTGAAGAACCACTTGAAGACGATAAGTTGTCGTTGCCGGACGGAGAAGATGTCGCACACACGTCTTATCCTTTGGCATGAGTACCCAGCGTAGGAACGAGCTGGGCAGCATATTCCTCAAAGGAATAAAAAAAAGCAGGACTATCGACTTTCGCAAGTGCCTCGGAACGAAGGGCGGTCACCCGCGAAGTGACCGGTTCCAAAGGCGTCGAGAGTGTCGTCGAGTCACTCCAGAGGTGCTTAGTTTCCCGATTTGCCCTTGCCTTTGGACTGACAGGCCATTGTCTTATGGAAATCGTTGTTGCACCATAGGCAATAGTGGAATCTCGTGCGTGTTTCGTACGCCGTTCGGAGAGACCGAAGTGGGTCCATGAGGCTGGAGCTGCTGCGCCGGGCCCGGGGCTCGATGCAGTGTTCGTCTTTGCCTTGCCACGTCCTCGGCCTTTGCCGGGGCGACCACCTTCCCGGGCGGCTGCGAGTCTGTCCCCTTCATTGGCAGACACGACCTCGCCAGTTTGGTCGTTTGGCGTTGCCGTCGCGACCATGACCACTTTCGGCCAACGTTGATCTTTGCCCAGGCCTGGTGCAAACGAACGCCGGAGATTCTTGGCCTCCTTGTTCGTGACAATAATCTACGCGGCCTTGTCAAAAAGTTATGTCGGTGTCGTTAGGGTGTCCTCGACGTGAGTCAAGGCATTGCCCAACGCCGAACACGCTCTCGATATGAAGTAGTGTTGGATGGCTTTGAAGCCCATTTGGATGTCCGAGACGGATGTCAAGCGTTGGTACTCAGCAATCCAGTCAACACTCGGCAGTGTGCCTTGTTCGAAGACCATCAGCTTGTCCATTGCCTTGATCTCCGACGGCTCTACTTGGGATCGCTTATGCCACGCCGCCTTCAGATCATCCCAACTGATCTTGGTATGCAAGTCGACTGCTACCACTCCGTACTTGGACAAGAGATTATCCAACCATGCTTGGCATGCGCCCCCCGATCGGGAGTACAAGTACCCGTGGTGCTTGTATTCTTTGACGTAGTGTAGCTGCAGTGTGAGTCCAAACTTGCGGATCTGTCTTTGTCGAGTTGCAGAAGATCTCCTGCCCATCGAAGTTTGGAGCTATCTCGCGCGGTTTCGAGCTCGAGTGGTTGGCGGCAGTACAGATCCGCTGCTCCAACTGTTGCGTTGCGGTTTGCTGTAACTGCACGCCGTCCTTGAGGGATCCGACGTCAAGCTCCAATGCCTCAAGGCGATCGGAGGTGTTGGAAGAGCTGGCAACAGGGGCGGCCACGGTTTGTTCCAGCTGCTGGAGGCGGCTAGTGCGTTTGTCAAACCCCTGATTGTGTGTCTGAACCGCAGAGTAGAGGTTGTGAATGTCCTCCTGCTGTGCAATGCACGTGGTCAGCAGGTCCGTGAGATGGCTAAGAAGGAGAGCGATCTTATTTCCACTCTCTTCCAGATTGTCATTCCCGGCCTCAGCCCGCCAGTCCGCTGCCAATGTGAGCAAAGCTCGCTCTCCGCTGAATATCTTCTCGCGGCGTTGAAGTCGTTCTTCATCGGCAGCCTTTGCTGCTGCCTCGTCTTGCTGGCGCTGCTGTTCAATTGCCAACAGACGTACCTTTTCGACGTCCTCTGCCTTCTTCTTTGTTGCGGCTGCTACTGCATCCGACCATTGCTTAGCTTCGGTAATCATAACCAGCTTCCGGGCCTGATAGGCCTCGTCCGTTTCCCCGGACATCTGGTCCATGACGGCTGTTTTCGAGCGCGTAAGCATAGATCAGGCTGGGGCCTGCTAACGTGGCACTCCCTGCTGCTGACGTGGCTGTTGACGTGGCCTGCTGACGTGTCCTGTTGACGTGGCCTGCTGGCATGGTGTGCTGACGTGGCCTGCTGACGTGGCAACTCGCCAATGTTGCCGCTGGGGGTACCCGGAGACATAGAGAAGGTAAGACCAGAGGTGGCAACGACATAGGTGGGGAGGGGTGGGTGGGCATAACTCGCCCAAATAAGGAGCCACTAATCAAAAAAAGAAAAGTTTGAACTTTGCAAAAAAAAAATCGAGAAAATAAAAATCCCGAGTTTTGCAAGTTCAGTAGGTCTCCCAACCTCCCTATCCTTGAAGTGCGAAAGTATCCATGAGAAAAAAAAAATTCAAACTTCCGACTGCCAATGATTATCAAGTAGTGAAAAATTGAAAATCATAGAACTGCGAATAATAAAAAGATTCCGAAAAGAAATATCAGTATTTGGACATACTCAGGTGAGAGTATTCGCAGTTTGGAGAATGGTACAGCAAGAGGAATTTCCGGTACCGTTTCCAAAAACGAATTTAAAAAAAAAAAATTCCAAATTTCCAAATAACGGGAAATTGCAAAAGGAGATCGAAATTTTCAAGAAAAAAATATTCTGGATTTCCAACAACGAAATTTTGGATTTTCAGAAGAAAAACGAAAACCGAAATTTCAGATGTTGCGCTATTGCGATTTTCCACAACAGAAATAGCGAGAAAACGAAATCCAAAAAAAGAAAAAAAAAATCGATTTTCGGCAATGAGGTCAAAATCGTGATTTTGGGGGCTAACTAGTGTGCTCTAATCAATCAATCAAGACAAATCAGCTACCTAGTCCCCGCACACGTGACATATCAGGTTGTCCTGATTCACGTGCGGTGTTCCGATACCAACTGTTACATGCCCAGTTGGGCGATGTACATATAACCGAGGATCCGCAATGTGATAAAAAGGACTGAATGGACAATCCAGTGCAAGTGGAATCTCAACAAGCAATGTGCATTCCAATACATACAAAATGGTGTTTTATAGCGCAGGGGAAGATTTGGATACAAGTCCTGACCTGACCGGGACTGATCTCTTTCACGTAGTACAAGATATAGCGAAACAGAATGCTGGAATACTAAGGACTAGCCCACTCAATGTTTCAACGCAGACCAAACATATATCGTGCTCATCACAAGGTGTAATGGGGCCTGGTGCTATTCACAAGGAGGAGGTGCTAGGTCCAGACATACACAGACGAAGAGGAGGGGATCAGACGAAGAAGAGGAAGGGGGAGATGGGAAAGTCGTCAACACCAAGTCTCGTTACAAGTCCCAAATAATCCCTCTTCAAAATGTCTGAAGTCCA